CTAAATCTGCTTGATCAGAAGTCTCCTGGGTTAGAATCCCTCATAAGACACTGAAAATATCTGATTTATACTTGAGAAAGTCGGAGAGAAAAGATTGCAATGCAAAATGTCAAATGAGCAGTAGATTGTGTTAGCACCGCTAATTAGCCTTTAATATTGGAGATCAAAACACTGATAGCCAATACAGTCTACAGCATAAAGTCAGCTGATCCTCGGAGTGTCGCGGGTGTAAATTACTTCATATGTATAAAGTCTCTCTGGGCTTTGGATTGAAGTAAAACATTTTTCTTCTGGTTTGTGTGGAACTTTATTTTCTCAAAAATGCCATACAAGTAAGTCTAGATTTAACAACAAAAATTCAGATCAAAGAGATCTTGAGTTTTTCAAATTTCTTTTTTTTTTTTTTTGAGGAATTTTAAATTTTCTCATTATAAAAATGTAAATTTCTCTAGGTTCTCATTTAATTATTACCATGGTAATTGTTGTGGCTGTGAATTAATTAGTCTTTTGGCTGTTAAAACTTAAACATGTTAAAAGAATTGCTTTGAAGTATATTTGATTGTTTATACATGTATTGATTAGATAACTGAATTACGATTAAAAATGAAAAACAAGCAACAATTTAGACTAATTGAATATGTTTATAGCCTTATTTGAGGAGGAGTTGTTTTTTCTTCTTTTTTTGTGGATTATATTATATATGGCAGGGCTGAATCCTTACTGGAATCTTTATTATCATATTCCTTTAATAAACAGAGGAATTTTAATGTGTTTTGTCAGTTTGAGGATGACTATGAAGATTTTGTTGGACTGTAATAAAATCCAGCCACCTCCGTACTCCAATGTCAGATGTGGAATTAATTTAAAAAGTAATTTTATTCCACCAGTATAGATCTTAGACATTATGGATTTCCAAATGGCCGTGAAAATTAGGTCAAACTTCAGAATGAGTTAATTTGTCTGGAATACAGTATTGACCTGGTTATTTTTTTCTCTGTGTTATGTGTGGACACAATTCTATTGTGGAATGGCGTTGAATTGGAAGATATATATGAATTACCCTGTAAATTAAACTTGCAGGTATATTTGATTCCTAATTTTAATATCCCTCGGAAAGTTTCCGGTCCCATTACCGGCAAACTGTCAGATATATTCCTATCCTAAGTCAAGTTCTTTGGTGAAATGCTTTTAAAGTCTTGATTAATTCCTTAGAAATGTATGTTACAACAAAAGTAAAATAATACTTTTAAATAGATCCAGCAATCAGTGAGGATTTAATGCAAAGAATTAATCATGTTAAAGATAGTGTTGTTACGATAGTCGCCGACTATCGAAAAATAATCGTTTGAAGGCCCAGATCGGCGACAATCGATTGTAAAAATTATCATCGATAGATAGCTATATTTTTCAAGCCGAGCAGGTTTAACTTTTATATTCACCAAAGGGATATCACTCTAATCGGCGGTAAACAAAATGGCGAACGTGCATGGTGAAGAGGTTGACGCCGAATTATATCCATATCCTATTAAAAATACTTCTCAGGATGAATAAATTTAACCTTCTTTAATAGTTCAAATTATCGCTTATATAATTGATTGTGTTCTTCCGATTCAATTTGATAATCGATAGTAAAATTTGTCCGATTTTAAAACACTAGTTAAGGATCAATTGCATGGTACCTTGTAAAAGCTTTTTTTTTTTTTTATCTGAAACAGCTCCTGCATGCAGAATAAGAAACATGAAAGTCCTTGTACTAACAGTTCAAAAGTAATGGTCAAGGTTTTAAGTTTTTTTTAAGTGTGTCAAACTCTATAAGGTCAAGGTCAGAAGGTCAAATAGTTTTATATCCATTGAAAGATCTTGTCATACTGTATACAGGGTTATTTTCGCCCCGTCTTATTTTCGCCCTTTCACACTTGCAAACAATTTTGCCCCGTCTTAAATTCGCCCAGTCATAGTTTTGTTTAAAAAATTATACTGTATTCTTTGAATTCGCCCCGTTTTAAATTCGCCCAAATGATAGTAAGGTGAAAGGGGCGAAAATAAAACGGGAGCGAAAATTTCCCTGTATACAGTAGTGAATACTCATGTGAAGATTGAAATCCCTAGCACAATCTATTCAATTGAAAATGTATTTCCAAAGTTAAAGTTAAAAATTTTCATTTACAAAAGTAGGACAAGCTGCAAGGTCAATGTCTCCAGGTCAATTTTTGTGGTAGCCGCAGAAATTTCTTGTCACAAAGAATACACCTTTGAAATACGAAAGCTATAGCCAAGCCCACTCAAAAGTTAGGGCAAATGTTAAAGCTTTTGCAGACAAATGAACAGTCACAGCTAGAGCAAAAACTACAAATCTTGGATTACAGAGGCATAATGAGTAAATGATTAATAAAAAGTTTACAATTAAAAATACACGGTAAGTAGAAAAGTATAATCCCAGATTCTTTTTTTTAAGTTTTGGGAGGAATTTTGTGAAGGAACTTTTAATATGTACATCACTGTACTAAATCTACTAATCATATTTTATTTTCATGAAAACCAAAAATATACTTGAAGTTTTTTATAGGTCGATCAGTATTCTCATTACCATGGTAACTAAAGTTGTTAGACGGTAAACTTATGTTCTGAATTCCATGATAATCATGTTAGCATTGTTATTACCGGTAACAGAAAAGAAAGTCATCATTTGAGATTTTGATTGGACAACCTTAAATTATTAGATATTTCCCTGTTCATCTGTTACTAAAATAAAAAAAAGTATTGAGAAGTAAAACTCAGAAGACTAAAAATTGGTAAAAGTTCAGCATATTCAAACATAAAAAAATGGAAGAATTTAAGAAAAATAGTCTTCATGGTAACCATGGCAACAAAGAAAATACTGTTAATTGTTTTGATGTAAAGCCATATTAGGTGACATGATTTTTTCATGCAGTTAATTAACACTCAATTTTTATCTGATTTAGAAAATATTTTTCAAATAATAATTAGATGCTGTCAAAAAAGCTTGCCCCGGCCATTACTAACTACACTGTAGAAATTTTGAGAAAATTATTTTGTAGAAATGATGTGCATGTAACTATAGAAACTCAACAGTATTTTCAAATGTAGAAACTAAACTATTATGAAAGATGCAACTAATACACTGAAGACTCGATCAGTTTAGGGTATTGGATTTGGTCAATGGTGCTGGCTATTTTAAGAAGCCAGTTTGCAGTTATATATGAACATTGTGTGAAAGACACTTGATTTCTTTCATTCTAAATTAATCTTTCTGTATAGAGTTCGGGGGCTTTGATTCCGGCATTTGAGTAGATAATAAGAAATCTATGAGTGCGGCCATATTAAATTTCACCCCATTTCCTCCATAAACTCTACGTAATATGCTACAAAGTGCAACTTTCACACCTCCTTTGCATGTGCTACAATTAACTTTTTTTCCCTAATTTTTTTTTTCAAAAAAGAAAGTGAATCACTCCTTTTTGGGTGGGCTCCTTTGTTACCATGGTAACAGATAAAATGAGGTTAAAACATGACTGACCCATGATCAGGAATATATAGTGCTAGAGGATAATGTGATTATGAATTTTAAGCTCTTATTTTATTGCAGTTATAGGTTAACATCTTCACTTAGTCTATGATTTACATCTGAAATTTCATGCAGTTATGTCAGATGTTGATATTGCGTTTGTACCAAATTGCACTTCAATTCATAACTATCAGATTGCAGTTACTAATTACGCAATTTTTGTTTCTTTTGCGTTGGAAATTTTTTGTTATAAGATTCTATACATGTAACAAGTTCTTATCTAAAAAAAAAATTATGACATGCTTTCAGTAATTTTGCTTTCAGCATGGGATTACTTAAGTGTTTCAGTATGATTGATAAAAGAGACAGAAACTTTATAATAATCTTAAGTTTTTGGACCAATCCCTTTGATAATATCCTCAAAAATTAAAAATTCAAAACAAAAAAACATATTTTTGTTTTCTTCTCCTTGTTACTGAACTTGTGTCCGATCCTTTTGACTTTGTCAATAAAATATGTTCAATTCATTTTAGCAATTTCTGAAGATCAATTTCTTACTGTAAATTCTGTGAATTCCACATTTGTCTTAGGCTTTTGACATCATGGACATAATTGTTGGGGATTTGATTTGAGCTTCATGTCTGATGTTTAAATTATCTTTACGAACTTTTAAAGTACATGTCTATAAGTGGTGGAAGAAATAAAAGAAAATCTATAAATAAGGGCAGTAGATTGGATTGTTTGATAAGTGTTGTGGTCTTAGAGCGGAATTTGACTCTTGACCCCAAGTCTATAAATGGACAGAGATTGAGAATTGTCAATTGAAGGCAGTGTTAATATGGTTAATAATGTCTATTTATATGAACAGCTACTGTGTTAAAAAAAAATGATTGGTTACCACTTATAGCGAGAATTAATTTATTTTCCTTCTTTTAGATGGTGTGTAATAGGTGATTTCTATTGAAATTAAAATATTTAAGGAATGAAGTGGTTTATAGAACAAAATGTTAAAAATATTAAGACAATATCTCCTTTAAAGATGAATTCAAATTGTATATATTTTATAAAGTCAACTTGAAGCAGATCGATTGATATATTTTTTTACGTAAGTCATTGTGATGTTGGAAACACAGTTTATATAATAATATAAACTACTGTAAACCAACTTTTATTTGCGTGCGACAAACATTCGCGATTTTCGCGACCTACCTTAAGTCGCGAATATTAATCGCCGTGAACCATTTATTTTGCTTCGTTTTTGAGACAATGTGTCCTTATTCGTGAAAAGTAATCGCCGCGGATTGATTTCAAACTAACGAATCGCGAATAAAAGATGACGCGAATAATAGTTGGTTTACAGTAATTTTCATCTAATCAAATAAGGCAGGTTACGACCAGAATTAAATTATATAGTAATATTTTTTTCCAGAATTTAGAATTCAATTATAATAATTTCGTTTGTGATTCTTTTTAGGAATTCGGAGAAGAGAAAGGAGAAATCTCGGGATGCAGCACGCTGTCGCCGCGGGCGGGAGACAGAGATTTTCTCGGAGCTGGCGGACCAGATCCCGCAGTATAGCGGGGGTCACAGTTCACTGGATAAGGCCTCTATAATGAGACTCGCCATCAGCTACCTGAAAGTCAGTAAAATAATGGAGACACAGCGGAACAACAGTAAGTGGTACCACAGTAAATTTCTTGTTACTTACAAGTTTATTTTCATGTTCTCACTTGAGACTTTCTGATACAGAAATTTTCACTCCATTAAAAGCAGCAAAAACAGTAAAACTCATTTATCAAGAAATTAAAACCTGCAGGATTTGAAGCTGCAGATCTGTTTCTTGCTGGTCTGAATGGATGACCATGGAGCTACAGTGCTGCCTAGCTGCAATAATGGGGGAGAGGAATATATCAGATTAAAAAATATGAGAGGACTACATTATTGCAGCTTTCTCATTACCATCTATAGAAAATAAGGTGATGCTGAAATTTTCTGATATTCAGCATCTTGTTTAATAAACTGTATACAGGGAAATTTTTGCCCCTGTTTTATTTTCGCCCCTTTCGCCCTCTTCCTGATTGGGTGAATTTAAAACGGTGCAAATTCAAATTACACAGCATTATTTCTTAAACAAAACTATGACTGAGGGAATTTTAAATGGGGCAAAATTGTTTGCAAGTGCAAAAGGGCGAAAATAACACGGGGCGAAAATAACCCTGTATACAGTATACTCTGTGAGGATTTGATACCAGTGTTTGTTCTGAAATATAGATTTTTTTCTGTTTTTAGGACATGCCCCATGTGAGGAGTTTGATTCTCTGTACAGTAAAGCTCTGGATGGATTTGTGGCCATCTTGTCTAACGAAGGCGACCTTGTCTACATCTCCGAGGGAGTCTCCAAATACCTGGGCATTCAACAGGTGAGAGTTTATAGGTCAACTTGTCAGTAGGAGACACAGGATGGGGGGGGGGGGGTAGGTATAGCGTGGTGATTTAGAGGTATGGAGTAGTAGTTATAGGTATAGACATATAATCTTGAGAAGGGGATGGAGGTTTAAGTGTTCACTTTTCAGGTGGAATCACAAAATGTGTCACATGAACTGTGTATAAATAACTCTTTTTAACTGCAACCTTGAAGAGGGGAAATGATTAGGGCATCTGATTAATAACATTTAAAGACTTTAATATTAATTTGCATTAAAGAGTTGATGAGATTTCTAATCAGTTTGTGCAGCTGTATACAGGTTGTCTGTAGTCAAATCAAGGTTATAAATTTACTTTGAGGAAGTGTTAGCCAAGTTATTGATGTCTGTTGGTCAGCCGGGAATAGATTTCATGTTTATGTCGTAATTTTCTTAATGATGTTTTTAAGAAATGTGCAAGTCACCATGAATGGCCAAAAAACACAAGACAAAAATCAAAAAGATGCACCAAAAACAATTCTCAGGACAGGGTCAATAAACTGATGGAAGCCACTGGATCTCCCTCATTATCTGAACGAGCTCTCCATAGTCCATTAAATAGAAACAAAGTATTGTATGGGAATCGTTTGATCGAGGGAATCACAGAACTAGCTGTAGGGTCCGAGATTTATAACTCTCAGAGCTGATCTTGACTAGAACTCCCATCCAAATCTGACAGTGTACAGCTATTTTGTTTTTTTAAACTGATTTTGGACTATTTGATGAACAGAGATCTTTTAATTATACTAGTATCTAATCTGCTACATGATAAATTAGAATATTTAATGAGCTACAGAACAATTGACACTAATGTTTGATGGATTACTCATTTCATTAATTTTATTCATAGAGTTATTGACCACAAAGGTTAATGATAGACCAGTGCATCACAGCAATGATTATTCAAAGGAGACAAAATTTTATTGCCATTAAAGAGATTAATTTTTTTCTTTTTTAGTCAGGGACAAACTAATATTGTTTGGTCTTTTTGCATTTCCATGAAAATTAAAATAAGCTGGCCTGAAATACAATACTATGAAATGCAGATATAAACTTTCTAAGGACCCCCTTTCCTTGATTTCTGATTATGTATTATTCAGGAAGCAAGTGCTCCTAATAATAAACCAGAACTATGCATAAACATGAAAACCAAAGGAAATATGAGAGAAATTATAATTTCTCTGTATAATATAGACCATATTCAAAATTTTAAAATTTTAAGGTTAACACTTAACCTCAATCCTCTTTCCTCTTCGTTTTACTGACCAGTCTATACCTATAACTACCATGTTTTCCTCTCAATTTTAATTTTAATTTCAAATTTAATATTTATTAAAATTACTTTTAGTGACAATTCAAGGATTTAATTGAGGTAGAAAAATGTTAAATAACAGGGTACATGCATGTTTGTGGTTATATATATATATATATTCTCTTGGAGTGATTTTTTTTATTGTGTCCATGCAGTATTAAAGCTATTAGTAAACCTGTACATGTAGAGTTCTAGAGTTGCATATGTTGGGATAACAAATCTGAGCTTTAATTCTTATAAGAGTGTTTGGTTAGCAAATCCATGTAACCCAGAAAAAAATAGAAAAATGGCGGGATAGCATGAGATTTCCGACGCGTCTTAGAATTAACGAGTTCTAATTCCCGTACTTCCTGTCTGCGGGGCTTATTTAATGTTGATGACTTATAGATTCTTAGTTAATGAATGAGAGTTTGTTGTGTAACGGTGAGAAAAAAACCAGGTTAATCCAAAAATGGACTTCCATTTTATAACCAGGTAGCGGTATTAATTTAAACTGTCCTGTTTTGAGGTCAACTGTGTTTTACTGAAACGAATTGATATATGTCATTGATACAAAAGTCTATGCACCTTTGTAATGTAGCATTATATTTTGATATCAGGGAAATACTAAACTCGGGTTCAATTATATATGTCACCAGGTATATTGTTGTTGCGGTTTTAATGTAAACAAATATGTTTATATACCTCAGTCTATTTTTGACTTTCAGGTAAATTAACCAATTTTTTTTACAAACAGGAAAAGGGGGAATTTGAAAAAGATATAATTTGAAATTATACATTTAGGAAAAAAAATCAATTTCACACCATTAAAAAATTGAATTTTCTGAACCAGACATTTTTAGTATCAAATAAAATAATTCATTATGAAAATAGGCAACATATGGAATACCGGATATAAATGTTTTTTGATGGCATTTATTCATAAATATAGTGATAACATACACATGTTATCTGTTTAATGCAACAGATTGCAAATTTCCCCTTGAAATCAAATTTCCATTGATGATATTTTTTCATTGAGAAAAAAAAATACAATTTATCAATAAGTGAACAGCTGTGAAAATTTATCATGTTGCAAATTTATGAATGATGTTTATAAATATAACATATTGTATAATTTTGTTAAGTTAGCTTATAATGAATGCAAGTTTCGGAATTGATTGGATGTAATTAAAAGTTAATTAATTTTTTGTCAAAATGTCCAACTAGCTATTATTTTTTTTTACAGATTCAATATGCATTTAATGCTTAAAATATCAAATGTAGAAATACAGCTATAAACTTAAATGGTATATAAATCTAAAACACAGATCTCTCCAATATCAGTGATAACTGATAATTAAGTGAAAGTAATCTGGAAGTCCCTAACACGTTTTCTTCAACATGTTTAACTAATCCTTTACCCTCACTTAATCTTGAACCATTGGACATCTTTTTTTTTTCCTCAGTCCCATAGAGTTTAATATAACGAAATTTAACTGTACATGTATTTCATCTTGGAAGACTAAAATTATCAGGTGAGGGTATCCCAAATTCGCTAGCCAAGGGTTTCCGATCCGAAATCTATTCTGACTAGTAGATTTCGGATTGGAAACCCTTGGCTAGCAAGGATAGGGGTATCCAAGTGGTTAATTTTAATTCCAAGTTGTTAATTTTAATTCCAAGTTGTTAATTTTTAGCTCTACTGGTCAGAGACCAGAAGAGCTTATGCGATAGTAATGCGTCCGTCGTCCGTCCGTCTGTCTGTCTGTCTGTCCGTCTGTCTGTCTGTAAACAATTTTTCAAAATGCTACTCCTCCTACAGTTTTGGTCTGATTTCAGTATAACTTGGCACACAAGTAGACTACAATAAGATACATAATTCTGTGTATCGGTTTTTGATTTCGATGAACGGTGTTGCCATGGTTACTAAAAATAGAAAATTCTGTGAAATTCTTTCAAAATGCTACTCCTCCTACAGTTTTTGTCTGATTTCAATATAACTTGGCACACAAGTAGACTACACTTAGATACATAATTCTGTGTATCTGTTTTTGATTTTGATGAACAGTGTTGCCGTGGTTACTAAAAATATAAATTTCTGTGAAATTCTTTCAAAATGCTACTCCTTCTACAGTTTTAGTCTGATTTCAATATAACTTGGCACACAAGTAGACTACAATAAGATACATAATTCTGTGTATCAGTTTTTGATTTGGATGAACAATGTTGCCGTGATTACAAAAAATAGAAATTTCTGTGAAATTCTTTCAAAATGCTACTCCTTCTACAGTTTTAGTCTGATTTCAATATAACTTGACGCACAAGTAGACTACAATAAGATACATAATTCTGTGTATCGGTTTTTGATTTCGATGAACGGTGTTGCCGTGGTTACTAAAAATAGACATTTCTGTGAAATTCTTTCAAAATGCTACTCCAAATACAATTTTTAGTCTGATTATAATATAAATGTGGCATGCAAGTAGACTGCACTAAGAACATAAAGAGACTTAATCAAGGATCATTATTCTATTTATTGCTGTTGAAAAGTTTCAATTTCCAACTGCTTAAGTACTTTTCTCTTCGTTTGCTATAAGTACAAACCAGTAGAGCTTCAGTCTCGACAGAGACTTCTGGTAATTCCAAGTTGTTAATTTTATTTTCGGGGTGCTCCTTTACAGGTGGACCTAGTGGGGCAGTCCATCTACGAATTTGTCCACCCCTGCGACCATGAAGACATTACGGACATTTTCCACAACAACGGCCGAGACAAGAAAAAATCCAAAGATGCCCACCACACTTTCTTTGTCAGGATGAAATGTACCCTGACCAACAAAGGCAAAAATGTCAACCTTAAGTCGGCCACTTACAAGGTCAGTGTTTGTTTTAGAGATGTCAAATATTAAATTTCTTCTTTACGAAAAAATACATAAATACAAATAAACTTATATAAAAGATTGTGTAAAATTAAAGGTAGTCCATTGCAAGTACAAAAAGTTATTTTTTTGTAAAATTGGGCTGGCCGGATTACAACAAATTAGTGCTTCAGTAAATTTTCAAAACCATATAAAAGATAGCCATTTGTATTCTTTGATTATGAAGAGCATTTTTTTATATGTATTTCATGTAGTACCCTTATAATCATTAATCATGATAATTAACAACAATGCATAAGCTAACTTCAAGTCACATTTGACGTAACACAAAAATAGCTTAACAACATTAAATGCATTTAAGTATTGTAAATTTACGTTGAATTGTAAATTAATTTTTTATTCTGCTTGACAGGTAATGAAGTTTTCAGGGAAGCTGATTGAGGACAAGGTCAAGAACGAGTCAGGGGGAGAGGGGAACCCACCCTACCTGCTGGTGATTGGGGAACCCATACCCCACCCCTCAAACATTGAGATCCCCCTGGATAGAATGACGTTCCTCAGCAGGCACAGCATGGACATGAAATTTACGTACTGTGATGACAGGTAACCATGACAATTGATCATTTGTTTTCTTATATAGCCATAGTGACTATGAAATTTTTTTTTTAAGAAAACAGATGGGAAAAAACATATAATTTTGGTGTATAAAAAAAATATGACTTAGAATTATAGTCTGATAACTTACTTTATACAAAGTAAATTGTTTTTAGGGTATGTACGATATTTGGAATCTTCATGGTAGTATTTGTAAGATGTCACCAACACTGTAATCATAACATTTACTAGGCTTATATAAACCAAGATATTAATACATTACAAAATATATTCACATCAAATAATGATGTGTAGAAAATAATCGTAAGATTCTCTTATTAAGTAAATGAAACTGTGCAATTTATGTCATGTTAATGAATGTGTGGGAATTTTAATGGATAATTCCCAACTATAAAGATGTTAAAGCTTATGTAAAATGATATGTTATATAAATTATTCACCAATTCTTGAACCTGTGTCCTTAATGAAAACTTTGCAAAGATACATGTAGAAGAAAGAACTATGATTGTTAAGGAAGTTCTAAACACTAATGACATAGTTTTTATTCGAGTCTGGGAAAATTAAGTTAACGTGTATGTTAAGATTTTTACTTCATTTAAATGAATTAAGTTACCTGCTAAAATTTTTCCTATGAAGGATGCAAAAAGACAATGAACAGGAAATGCCTTTTTTTACATGTACTTATATTAGCAAAATACAATCATACAAAAATGTATTAAAGTACTTTATCTTTGTCTAAATATAATATTGAGAATATTTTAATCTATTGAAAACTTGTCATAAATTAAAGATACACCACAGGGCAGATCACTCAAACTGCATAAAACTATCCTACACTTAAAACTCCAGCATGCAGTGATATCGATATAGCAATTTTTTTTAGTTTTATAAATTGAAGTGAAAAAAAAAATTAGACATGGGAAAGCGAAATTGTTAAGAAAGGGATTTTGAACTTAATAAAATTTTTGTCAATAGAACACTTGTCATAAATACATTTGTTTTTTTATCGTAATTTTTTTTTTTTAACAGAGTGAAGGATCTGCTGGGATATAACTGTTCAGACCTGATTAACAAGTCTTTGTTCGACTATCATCACGCCATGGACAGCGAATTAATAGACCAGGCCTATAAATACTGTAAGTCTGTATTCAGACACTATTTCCATCTTATCAGCAGGCTTATAAATACCATTATAATGTTCTAATTCCCCAGTTCAATTAAACAATTGCTTATTTATGAAATAAAACTCAAAACTCTTGTTATATAGGAAGGGGAGGGGGTGGGGAGTGTTGCAATGTAGCAGTGAACTTTGAATGACTAAACACCTGAAAATCTACCTTTTATGTGACAACAGACTTTTTTTTTGCTTTCTTGAAATCTAAAAATATTAAGTCTGTTAAGTCTTTTCCAGCATGCAGGTACATTGAAAAAAAAAAAGCATCTTTATTTCTGAATCACTGCAAATGTAAAAATTACAAAAAATACATTGACATGCTAACGTAACACAGGGCATGATCTAACATCGCAGCCTCTGATACTAACTTTCATAACCTGGAGAAGAAAATACTCCTTGAATTGTTGAAAATATTACTGTAATAATAGACATTTACATGACCAGATTTTCAGATGTTTGCTACTGATTGTCTCAGCTTATTCAGTTTTAATATCATAGTTATAAAAAAAAAATAGAAAAAAAATACATTTATAAATTCATTATTGTATTTATAAAAATTGCATATGTTTTGCTATAAACAATGATAAATGTTCATGTAAATTGATGGTTTTCCCCTCTCTAGAATTGAACATTCACGTTCATACGAAAGACTTGTATGCCATTTTTTTCAGAAATTCACTTGGGTTTCTCTATATTGTAATAGTCATACTTTCTGATCTTGATTAGAAGATCATATCATCTTGAACTTTCTGACAGATTTCTAGCTCTGATAAATCCTAAAATCGTAGTAAACTGAGTTAAGTGGAATGCACCTAGAGAGCATTAAATTCGAGTTTAAAAAGCAGGGTCTTACTTGTGCATATTAAAGTGCAGTGAAGATGCAGTTGTTTTGTGGTAAGGGGGGTGTGTGATATTCATTAAAATTTGGAGATAATTGAAACTCATTACTTTTCGCGGTTTTTATCAATGGAGAAGGGAATTTGACGTCTGATTTGACTTTTTTTGCGTACTTTTGATAGCGAGGTTAAGTGATAACCGTGCACAGGATGTGTAGAAATATAACAGCAGAGTAGGGGAACTCCCTAGTGCTGTACATGCCCCCATCTCATGATACAAAACCACAGAGTCAGAAATATATAGTTATCATGGAGAGATGGGGGAATGTGAAAGGATAAAGGGGAGGGGGGCAGAAAGAGAGAAGGGAAGACAAAGGAGAGAAAATTTAAGTAACATGCTTATGACAAGAAAAATTAAATTTATTTCTTGATAACATTTGCTTTGTTTGTTTATTTCAAAATGCCAATCATATTGTTTGCACACTGCTGTATTTTTTTTTGGGGGGGGGGGGGGGGTATAAATTCAATAATTAAACTTGCAAAAAATATTTATTAATTGTAAACTCTGAATATCCAAATGATCTTGCTCAAATTAAAAAAAAAAAATCCATAGAAAAACTAAGTTGATAATATTATGACCCCAGATTTGTGCACGGATGTAAAATCAAACTAACTTTAGCATTTCACATGTATCAAAATGAAGTTTTCCAGATAAATTGAAATTCTTTGCTCTTCACTGAATGAGGAGTTGGAAGAAAGTGATTCAGTAGGCCTGGTTTCTTCCCCTGATAAAAAGAGAACATTCTAACATGACTTTATTTTATGAACATTCTTCAGCTCATGTCTTGTAACAGGAACAGATCAGAGCATTTTCTGTATTCGTGTTCAGCTGATAAAACTTGTGTGTTTTCCACTGGTTTCAGTTTCAAGTCAGACAGTACATATGCTATGATAATGTAATATGCAAATTTTTATTAAAAGTTTGTAACTGTGAACGACACTGAAATGGGGAGGAGAAGGGGGGAGGGTGAAATCTGTTCATACTAATGAATTAGTTTTTGTTTTGCTTTTCATGTTAACTAAAAACTTTAGATTTTTTTAAAAAAAATAAATGTTTGTGCTATTTAGTATGTTGATTTGTATTATAGTGGTTGCTAAAGTAATTTTTCAGTAATGTACATCATGTTTTGATTATCTTGTAGTGGTTGCCAAGGGACAAGTGATGACCAGTCAGTATCGATTCCTTGCCAAAACCGGAGGTCATGTCTGGGTCATCACTCAGGGGACGGTCATCTACAACAGCCGCACCCAGAAACCCCAGTGTGTGGTCTGTGTCCACTACGTTCTCAGGTAAATTACCCAGAATCCCCTCCGTTCTCAGGTAAATTACCCAGAAACCCCAGTGTGTGGTCTGTGTCCACTATGTTCTCAGGTAAATTACCCAGAATCCCCTCCGTTCTCAGGTAAATTACGCAGAAACCTTGCTATGTTCTCAGGTAAATTACCCAGAAACCCCAGTGTGTGGTCTGTGTCCACTACGTTCTCAGGTAAATTACCCAGAAACCCCAGTGTGTGGTCTGTGTCCACTACGTTCTCAGGTAAATTACCCAGAAACCCCAGTGTGTGGTCTGTGTCCACTAAGTTCTCAGGTAAATTACCCAGAAACCCTGCTTAGTTCTCGGGTAAATTACCCAGAAACCCCAGTGTGTGGTCTGTGTCCACTACGTTCTCAGGTAAATTACCCAGAAACCCCAGTGTGTGGTCTGTGTCCACTACGTTCTCAGGTAAATTACCCAGAAACCCCGCTTAGTTCTCGGGTAAATTACACAGAAGCCCCATTGTGTTGTCACATTAAATCTCATTATGCATAAATTTTTCCATGTTTCCAACTATTTTCGATGTACCTGGCATACTCTACTACCTAGACAGTGATTCCTTATACAGTGGACCTTCAACCCCGCTTTGGTTCCCAGGTAAATTTGTCACATATGTGAAGCCCCATTGTGTTGTCACATTAAATCTCATTATGCATAAATTTTTCCATGTTTCCAACTATTTTCGATGTACCTGGCATACTCTACTATCTAGACAGTGATTCCTTATATTTCCATTTTATTGTGAAATAAAACTGTAAATTAAGATTTTACATTCTGGTAGAATTGTCAAGAAATCAACTCAACTAACGTTCAAAAAGTTGTCAGAGAGGAAACAAATAGAAATGGAAGTATTAAATTTATTGTCCACCATAGGGTACATTATAAATAGAGATATACTATACCTATATTGTTTACTATAGCTATCTCTGTTTAGTCTGAAATTTATCTATTCATCTTTACCTGTATTTTCACTGCATCTTCAGGTGAAATTGAAGGAAAAATATATGTTACATGTAAATGTATACAGTATACTTTCACTGTGAACACAAATTAACTTACAAGGCAGACTTAAATCATAAAAATTTCAATATGGACAACTAGTTTATCAATATTTTGTGAGTAATAAGGAGGCAAGAAAAATATTATATATATCTGCAAATAACGTTACTTATAATTCTGTGTGCTGTATAATAATAAATTCTTTTAATTGTTTGTAGCGGAATTGAGAACCCGAGTTTGATTTTGTCCACGTCCCAGCAGACCTACAGCCAACAATTACCCATGATCCCTCTGGAAATCAAACTCAGCACCGAGGACGTCTTCAAACCGCGGCCAGAAAACGTTAAAGTAGACGAGTTCTACTTCCCACCGGGCAGCAAGATGTGTAAGTTAAATATTACCTCAAACATCGACTAACGTTACCCATTAAAAATATTTGACATGTCTAATGGTTAGATTTATTCTTATGTTATTTTATAATCCTTTTTTTAAAACTCTCTTATAGATGGGAAAAAAAAACCCCATAAGATTTCATTCATATACTCGCATTTAAATTTTGCTGAGTTAATGTATCTTTAAAAAATATATATTAATTTTTTGGGGGTAAAATTCGGGCTACATTATCAGGGTATTAATGCTTCTGCACTTCTGCACTGACTCTGGTGAGCAGAGTTGTGGGCCTTTATATAAACAGAGCAAGTCATGAAAATGTACTCATGACAAAACTAAAACATGATTGTTATTGTATAAAGATAATAATTTATCATACTGTCATTGTAAAACCCTCGATCTGATTTTGTTTTTTCAGCCTCGATGAAAGTTGACAAGAACGTAGATCTGACCCACCTGGCCCCGACCTCGGGAGACACCTGTGTGCCCCTCATTGATGGTAAGTGACTGCCCCCTCCCCCAAATCTCCAGCCTACTCCCCAAAAATTACAACATTGTAAACAGTTGTTTCAGTTTGAAATAAGTTAGCTAGGATAGTTAGAGCTAAGGTTCAATCAAATGATTGCCTTTTTTCACCAAGTCTTTTCAAATATTTTAAAAAATATAAAATTCAGAAAAAAGTATTTGTATCATAAAGAAGATTACATATGTATGAAGCAAATTTTTTGATTATTCAACTGAATGTGTAACTTGTTTAAAAAAAGAAGAGAGAAAATAGAGAGAAAGAAAACAAGGGAAATAACTTGTGATATGTGAATATAAATGTCATTTTAAAACAAAACAAATTTAGAAAATATGATATAAAGATCAAGACATAATGTTACTGAGGGCATGTATCCAATTAAAAATTTTAATAATAAGAAGAAATGTTGTGAATTGGAGAACTTGTCCTTTGTTAATTTTCCGGTTATATATTTATTGGGAATACCTGCTGTAAAGGATGAAACCTTTGATGTAATATTAATTTTTTTTGTATAGATAAATTAGATATAAACTCTCTTGGAACTTATTTTGCTTTATAAAGAAAATAGAAATATGTGAGAATTGTGTTAGATGTGTTTATTTAGTTGGATAAATTGCTAATCAGTTTAGAAAAGATTATTAAATTGTTAATTAATAAGAAAGTGCTTCATTCTTAAATTTGAATTAAAATTGTGTTTCAAACAAGATTGGCAAAATAGCATATTTTTTCAAAATAAATGCTAGAAGAAAGAAATGATAAACTCTGACTTTGCACACTTGTAGATTTAGAAAAAAAAGTTAGGTGGAAGTGCAGTATCACTCTTTTGAATAAAACTTGCTGAAACTTGGCATGATGATAAATGTTTTCTTTACAGAGAGCTGTGTTCCGTTCTCCTCTAACCTACCCCTGCCTGTCCTTAAGGAGGAGCCGGATGTCTTCAGTAAAAGAGTCTGTTCTCAGCAGGCTTATTCCCCCTTATCAAGTCCAGCGGTGAGTCTCTCTACTGAATTTTAGGTGGGCTAATGACTGGTAGAGCAATAATAGCCTGCTTTTATAACGGGGTTCAATCAGAAATGCTCGTAGTCTGGCTTAGATTTGAGTTTTTATACATTTGTTGTAGTTGGTGAATCAGGCTTAGATTTGAATTTTTATACATTTTTTGTAGTCGGTAATGCTGGCTTAGATTTGAGTTTTCATACATTTTTTTAGTCAATAATTCCGGCTTTCATTTGATTTTTTATACATTTGTCATTAAGTCTGGCATAGATTTAAGTTTTTATACATTTGTTGTAGTCGGTAATTCCAGCTTTTATTTGCGTTTTTATAAATTTTTGTATAGTCCGTAATTCTGGCTTTTATTTGATTTTGTATACTTTGTAGTCAGTGAGTTCAGTTAGATTTGAGTTTTATTTTACATTTGTTGTAGTCTGTGAGCCCTGCCCCGGTCAGCCCGATGGACTACACTAACCCCCTGACCCCTAGTGTCGTGGACGCCATGGACAAGTTCTTCTCCGCCGTCGACACCTACCCCAGGAAAGACCAGGCCGCTGCCGTAAGTGTTACCATGGTTACCAAAAGGCGTTAATTAATTAATACCTGTTGCAGAGAAGGCCTTATAAAGTAAGGGATTGACAAACCGTGCAATTAGTGGGTGTTAATTAATTGTCGTTGCATTGTCCGTCTGAGATGGGATTTAATTTTTTTTTATGAAACTTTTAATGATTATAAACCATGTGCTAATAATTTATGAAATGGCTGGATTCTGTAAATTAAATAAACAAGTTTTTGTTCTCACGGATTTTGACATAGATATGAAGGTTTAGATATTCTCGATTGGTTGATTGTTAACTGCGCAATATTGAAAACCCCCACTTATAGATTTAAATAAAAAGACTCCCATGTGAAAAGAATAAAGTACATAATATTTTATTTATCATTAAGAATTTTAATATGGATGTTAGGATTCTATAAGTAAATGTGTTTTGTATTTAGGACATTGACTTGGTGTTATTGTTATCTTCGTAAAATTCCCCACCAATAGATTTAAATTGATAAACTCCTTATACAAAAATAATCAAGTAATTTAGTTATATTTTATTCAGAAGCAGTTTTATGATGTGGATTTTAGTAGGGCTGGGACGATATATCGAGATATTGATATATCATGATATATGTGAGGACGATACACATATCGATACATTTGAAAAAATATCGAAATATCGCCCAAAAAATCTGACTTCTGTTTTTCTTTGTTTATTTAACATTTAGGGTTTAATATATAAAATATATAAGTTAAATATAAATACAGATATGAAATTTTTAATAATTAACACCATTTGAGTAAAATATTTTGTTTTACAACATATAAACAACAATTTTGAATAAATTATTCTCATTTGCAAAGAAATAATTTGTTTATTTCAATGCAGAAAAAGATTTTATAAGCAATTAACCATATCGTGATACATATCGTATTGTGGCTCAAATAACGTTGTACGTATCGATATAGAAAAAGTTGTATCATCCCAGCCCTAGATTTTAGGGCCATTCAGTAAATTTGTTATGTATTGTAGGATCTTGACATGGATATGAGGGCCCCTTACATCCCCATGAATAAGAAGGAGGATTTCAGTTTACTGCCACCCACCAGTGATGCGTTGTTTACCATCAACAATGACTTCAATCCAGGGTAAGGGTTGATGATAATAAAAACTATACAAGTGTCTATATATTTGCTGAATTTCCAACAGCTATCTGGCTGAGTTTTGTCTAAATCATAAAAGTTTCCTTAAACCTTGGATTAGATGAAAAATTGAGAACACAAATTTTGATTCAATGCCTTCATGTATCTTTGCATGGTTCAGCTAGTTACATGTAATTGTATTCAAATTAAGTAAGATAAAAAAAATTATATAAATACTTAGACACACTATAGACTAAGTAACAAAAGATGATTATGTCTAGACAATATCTTGCCAGTAATTATTTGTTATAATCAATTAAAATTTATGAACAAAGATTATAATTAGTTTGTTTTTGACAGCTTGTTTGGACGTACAGAGTCCGTATTTGTACCTAAGGACAAGCTGTACCAGGACCCACCTAAGGAGGCGCGTATGAGTATCCGTGACATGTTGGTGGGGAGCACCGCGGTGGCCAGCATCGAGCAGCCCCCCGACACGTTCAACCTCCAGATGAAGCGCCCCCTAGACATGAACAGCCTGGAGAAAGGCCCGCCCACAAAAAAACGCTTCATACAGGAGTATCAGGGTACGCGGTTTATCTCCATTCTTTTTAATAATTTTAAACTTCTGTGTAAAAAGGGACAAAAATTTATTGTAGGTTCGTTTAAATTTGTTGTTCAGTGGAGTATTGTGAATCTGTGTCTTCTAGGATGTGGAAATAGTTTATTTTTCTTCTGATGACTTAATTTATAAAGAGAAATTTGAGGTTAATTTAAGATCCTTTCTAACATTCAATAAGAAAGTGGTACATGATTTTTGAATCGTCTTCCCTCTGTGGTTTTTAGCTCTACTGGTCAGAGACCAGAAGAGCTTATGCGATGGTAATGCGTCCGTCGTCCGTCCGTCTGTCTGTCTGTCTGTCTGTCTGTCTGTCTGTCCGTCTGTCTGTCTGTAAACAATTTTTCAAAATGCTACTTCTCCTACAGTTTTGGTCTGATTTCAATATAACTTGGCACACAAGTAGACTACACTAACATACATAATTCTGTGTATCGGTTTTTGATTTCGAGTTACTAAAAATAGAAATTTCTGTGAAATTCTTTCAAAATGCTACTCCTCCTACAGTTTTGGTTTGATTTCAATATAACTTGGCACACAAGTAGACTACACTAAGATACATAATTCTGTGTATCGGTTTTTGATTTCGATGAACGGTGTTGCCGTGGTTACTAAAATAGAAATTTCTGTGAAATTCTTTCAAAATGCTACTCCTCTTACAGTTTGGTTCTGATCTTAATATACCTTGGCACACAAGTAGACTACACTGAGATACATAATTCTGTTTATCGGTTTTTGAATTCGATGTGGTTACTAAAAATAGAAATTTCTGTGAATTCTTTCAAAATGCTACTCCTCCTACAGTTTTGGTCTGATTTCAATATAACTTGGCACACAAGTAGACTACACTAAGATACATAATTCTGTGTATCGGTTTTTGATTTCGATGAACGGTGTTACCGTGGTTACTAAAAATAGAAATTTCTGTGAAATTCTTTCAAAATGCTACTCCTCCTACCGTTTTGGTCTGATTTCAATATTACTGGGCACACAAGTAGAGTACACTAAGAAACATAATTCTGTGTATCGGTTTTTGATTTCGATGAATGGTGTTGCTGTGGTTACTAAAAATAGAAATTTCTGTGAAATTCTTTCAAAATGCTACTCCTCCTACAGTTTTGGTCTGATTTCAATATAATTTGGCACACAAGTAGACTACACTAAGAATAATTCTGTGTATCGGTTTTTGATTTCGATGAACGGTGTTGCCGTGGTTACTAAAAATAGAAATTTCTGTGAAATTCTTTCAAAATGCTACTCCTCCTACAGTTTTGGTTTGATTTCAATATAATTTGGCACACAAGTAGACTACACTAAGATACATAATTCTGTGTAATTTCGATGAACGGTGTTGCCGTGGTTACTAAAAATAGAAATTTCTGTGAAATTCTTTCAAAATGCTAGATTTGGTTATAACTTGGCACACAAGTAGACTACACTAAGATACATAATTCTGTGTATCGGTTTTTGATTTCGATGAACGGTGTTAGAAATTTCTGTGAAATACTCTCAAAATGCTACTCCAAATAACAGTTTTAATAATATAATGTGGCATGCAAGTAGACAACACTAAGAACATAAAGAGACTTAATCAAGGATCATTATTCTATTTATTGCTGTTGAAAAGTTTCAATTTCTAACTTCTTAAGTACTTTTCTCTTCCTTTGCTATAAGTACAAACCAGTAGAGCTTCAGTCTCGACAGAGACTTCTGGTTTGATGATGTAATGTCGTCTTACATTTTGTCTACGAGTTGTGATTGTATAATTCACACTGTCAAAAGCACAATGACTCACAATCTAGCTAGGTTTTCTAATTATAATTATCGTTCTCAAGAGTGTTCATTAGATGATTAATATTGAAAGGAAGAAGGCAAGAATTTAAACAAGATTTTCTTGCGAGAATGTTACATAAAAGAATGTCTAAAAGTTATTGATTTGTTGCGCAGTTCTTTCTTGTTTTGGAAGAAAAAAATTATTTTTAAAAGGAGTTGATGTCTTTTTTAGAGGTAAATTTACCTGCAAGATGATTTGACATTTAATGTCCACCTGAAATGTTTAACTTTGGTATGGAGGAATATATTTGATTCAGTCAAGTTTTTAGCAAAAAAATTCTAACTCTCCACTAAATCATAGATGTTGAAAAAAAAAAATCAGATGCAAAATGGTATTTGACGTAGATAATATTACTGATAATCTTATAGATAGAAAAATTATAGGATTTTATAAAGCAAATAAATACAAAGCTTCAAATTCTTTATCTCAGTGGAAAGATGTGTCTGTATCTGTATAGGACAATTTGTAGTGCAATTTTCCAGGGTCATCCTTAAGAGTTGAGATTCATAAAGTAGATGGGGTTTGGGAATCCTCCCTTGAGAGAGGGTTGAAGGGGAATACCTGTACCAGAATAACGGGGGATTGAATTATATCAGTATAATTGGGAAATTTTCCGGGCTTCCAGCTCTTAAGGACAACCTGCTTTTGTGAATAAATAAGATATTGTAAAACCTGAGGCCAGTTTAGCAGATCAAGTGTTCATAAACATTTCTGTTGGAGGTATAAGGAATTTTTGCCAGTGCTTGCGAATGTTTTTTGTTGAACAGGCCTCTGATTGGTGGTTTAGTAACTCTAGACCTCTGTCTGACTGTTATGGTCAAGTAACACTGTTACAGACCTCTGTCTGACTGTTGTGTGTACGTTTGTGTGTTGTGTTCTACAGAGCCTCCAAAGAAGCACAGCGTCCTGATGAGTCTCCTGGTGAACGGTGAGGACCCTCCCACGGGGTACTCCGTCGTCCGCAAAACTCCGCAGCAGCTGCCGCAGACGCAGGTGAGACACGCCCCCCATGGTTAACAGAGATAATGACCACAGGCCCCTAACGAGAGATATTGACCGTTCACCCTTAACGAGAGATAATGACCACAGGCCCCTAACGAGTTATTGACCATTCAGCCTTAATGAGAGATAATGACCACACACCCCTAACGAAAGATATTGACCATACAGTAGATATGCCCCACCTAAACAAAAGATACTGACCACACGCCCTTAATGAGAAATAATGTCCAATCAGTCGATACGCCCCACCTTACCGAGAGATATTGACCAATCAGTAAACAGCTCCACTTTAATTAGAGATTTTAACCAATAAGCATCAAGACCCCTCAATCTAGTAAAAATGATGAGGGAAAATTCCAAGGTTTGACTGTGTGGCATTCTTTTAAAATGATTAAAAAGAAAATGTCATTTAAGATAATTGTTGCTAGAACAAAATTGATCTCATTTTTTTATAGATATGAGATACATTTTGTTGACTTACAATTGTGCCATCTTCATTGCTGTGTCTAATTCTTTCAGTTACCATACTTCAAGATGATACTAAGTGAATGAGAAAAAATATGTTGTCATCATCGATGTTAAAATATACCTTCCCCTTTGTTGTTTGCACCATATTACATACAATGTACACACTGTTTGAATTGTGTCCCTTAGTCTGGATATAAAATGACATGAGTTATGTATATTGATTTATTGTGTGTAGCCAAGCTCATGTTTATGACTGATGAATGAATGAAGTTCCCAGATATAAGATTTTGAAAAAGATATGACATTTGATCTGCAGAGGGCGGAAACTTAAAATGAAGAGGCTTGGGATTGGTAGATACCTATATATGTATTTTGTTTTTGTCTTTTCAGCCCAAAGCTTATTTTCCGGCATTGCAACTCAAGGGGAACAACTCTGGTGGTAAGAGGATGCCCCTGAATCCGGTTTTGGAGGAGGAAGTGATAGAGACTCCGGACGTGCTGCTCCAGAATCCGGATTTACTGGCCGCCCTCGAGCTGTTTCTGCCGAATTCCGAGCTTATGTGACATCACTTTATTTTGTTTCCATGGTAACTGATTTTGTGGAGCCAGCAAGAGGAAAGAACAGTGACTTAGCATTGCTATGGAACATTTATTGTTGCTATGTAACACTTACTTTTTTTTGTATTGTCAACTTGTGTTGTTTTTAACATTTAAAAGAAATGCTTTACAATTTATTTGTTATGTATAACATTTAGTATCCCGTGTTGTTAGGGTCATTTGATTTTTGTTGTTATTGTTTATAGTATAGATTTCAGTTTTGTTTTTTTTTTAATTAAGTTCATAACATTTTTTGGCAACATTTGTTACAGATTTAGGAATTTTTGATTTTGAAAACAAAAAAAAAGACATTTGCTTGTTTAGCATATGAATCATGTTAAAGGTGTAAAAAAAAAATAAACTGCTTGTAGATTTGGAGCTTTTTAAATGGCAAGATATGATTTTTCAACTTGCAAAATGTCAATAATTTTTTTATTCTTTGTTACTGCTGCAAGGTTCATCAATTTGTCCTGCTCATTTTTTTTATTCGCTACAACTTTTAGCACTACACAACTAATCAAAAACTCAATCTTATATATAAGGAGATATTTTAATATATATTTTTCTTGAAAGGAAAAAAATATTTAAAAAATTATTTTGAAAAAAAAAAAGAAAAAAAATTAAAGAGGAAAAAAAAGAAAAAAACTTAAAAAAAAAAATACAAAAAAAAATGTAGGATAGGATAATATGATAAATGTGAAATGCGGTGTTGTGCTAAGTGCATGTATACATATATTTTATTATAGTGAGTTTGTTAACGATGTAGTGCTATACATACACGATTTTCTCTGTTCTACAAATGCTGCCATATGAAGAATTTTACATTAGAGATTATTAGAATTTCTGCATCGTCTCGCTCGCTCATTATTTCACCTCAGCGACATGGAATTGGCTTTCCAGAATCATTTTATTTAAATCCCTAACTCTGATGTTAATTCTGATTCTTGCTGTTTATTTGCAAGACAATTTTTTGCCTAACTATCTGTCTCCCAATTTGGCCCAGAAGCTTGAAGTAAAATTTTCACCAATGACAAAGATCAATGGTTATAAATTGAAAGTTGTTTTCATGTTCTCAGTATACATTATCCACAAATTATTTTCGATATTTTCATAACTGACAAATAATTGACAAATATTTATTTTCACTTTAATGGAAATAGCCAGGTTGTATTTTCGTTTGAAGACCTTCTAGGTCTCTGTGGATAATTTGTTAAGATCTGAGTGAATTTTCTGGGCTCTGTCTATTATGGTATAGGGCACTCATGTTCCATTTTTTCAAAAAAAAATGAAATTTTCTTTTTTTATTAGGCAACTCATGATGGGTTGGTAGGGCAGTATCATAGTACAGAGCTGTATTGATACATGGCTTCAAAATGGTTCTGTTTAATTTGATTGCAGGTAAAAAAATGTATATGATACAGTGTGGCCATAAAATTTTCCAATATTGGTTTTTAATATGTTTTAATTTCATGTTAAGACTTCTGATCTCGGGCAGGACCCGAAGCATGGTAGTCTCAGTTAAATTTAAATTTTTTTTTCCTCATGAAAAAATGTTTAACCAAGAAGAGTCAAGGAAAGCCTTGTTTCTTTTAAACACTAAACTAGAGTGTAAATGATTTCTTTTTACTTGGAAAATACAGGATACTAAATATTGGTACTTATCTCCCTTTAAGAGATATTGTTAGTTTATTACATGTATCTCCCTTTGATAGTAATTGTTGGTTTATTATCTACCTTCTGTCATCTAGTATAACATACATTGTACCCACAACTCTTGTTGTGTGCGAGCCATATTCATCTTTTCCTTGTTTTGGGAAGAAAAAAAATTTTGTTTTCATGTGTATCGTACCTATTCAATTCATTGTAAATGAACATATTGTAGTACAATAAAATAAAAATAACAAAATGGATTAAATTTTATTTTTGTTTGGGAGTTAAGTAATGCATGCATTACAATTTTGATATTTGTTTTCTGACTTTGGTGAGGAAATATTCCTAGCTGAAAAGCGAGGGAAACTTAATAGCTGTATATTCTTTGAATTTGTATATAGAAAAAAAATCACAGAGGTATAATGAATGGAGATACCGTATCGAACAGTATTCAAGCTCAAAATCCTTCAAATAATACAAATCAGGAGCGGAGAAAAGATGACTATCTAAAACATCGGATGAGGGATCAGGCCTGGGGGCCATAAAACTTAGACGAGCTCACTTTTGATCTCAGTCTCACTTTTACCAAAGGAATATATAGTGGAAAAGTGAGACTGAGATCAAAAGTTAGCTCATCCAAGTTTTATGGCCCCCAGGCCAGATGCCATGAAGGAGTGAGCGTCCCCTGCTGACTGGTCAGATCCGCCATGTGCCAACTATCATGATCTGGAAATAACGGGAAAATTCGATGACAATTTAGTGTGCAAGTAATGGCTTAACAATTAGTATGAAAAACGTCAGTCAGCATTTGATCTAATGACAGATTGTATTTGTTTGTATTTGCTAAAAAAGTCACTGTAGCGACCATAGAATTTACAAAATCATGACTCTAAATGAGACTGCTGATATTCTTGTTTCATCAATTTTTTTGTCAATAATTTAGCTTGTTTAAGAAATTATCCATACGTAGAGTACTCCGGCACATGGCGTTACTTATCTTCTTTTAATTAAAAAATATACCCCTACCTAATAATAAACTTATTATTATGTAGGGGTATGTTTTTTTATTAAAAGAAAAATAAGTAACGTCAGGTGCCTGTGGTAGAGCATGCTCTTGCGTATCGAATAAACTGAGAAATTTAAACATTTTATTCAGGTGATGGAGGTATATTGCTGCACAAGTAAAGGAAGTTGACGATTAAAAAGTTAGCCATCACGTTTATCATAATGCTTTGTTGCTACATTATGGTTTTTAGCTCTACTGGTCAGAGACCAAAAGAGCTTCTGCGATAGTAATGCGTCTGTCGTCCGTCTGTCCGTCTGTAAACAATTTTTTCAAAAATGCTACTCCTTCTACAGTTTTGATCTGATTTCAATATAGCTTGGCAGACAAGTAGACTACACTAAGATACATAATTCTGTGTATCGGTTTTTGATTTCGATGAACGGTCTTGCCGAGGTTACTAAAAATAAAAAAAAAATTGTAAAATACTTTTAAAATGCTATTCCTCCTACAGTTTTTGTCTGATTTCAATATAACTTGGCACACAAGCAAACTACAATAAGATACATAATTCTATTCATCGATTTTTTATTTGCATGAACGGTGTTGCCATGGTTACTAAAAATAGAATGAAATATTTTCAAATTGCTACTACAATTACAGTTTTAGTCTAATTATAATATAATTTGGCATGCAAGTAGACTACACTGAGATACATAATTATCAGTTTTGTGTATTTGATTTTGATGAACAATGTTGCCATGGTAACTAAATTGAAAATTCTGTAAAATTTTTTTAAAAGCTTCCTCTACAGTTGTACTGTTATTGCAATCTTGCCACAAAAAAAGACTTAATCAAGGATCATTATTTTATTTATTGCTTTTGAAAAGTTTTATGTCCCAACTGCTACTTTTCCCTTCCTTTATCACAAGTACAAATCAGTAGAGCTACAGTCTCGACAGAGACTTCTGGTTTTTTTTTTTCAAGTAAAATATTCAAATATGAAACACATGTGTCAGACTCTGTGATATCTTTTATCAAAAGCTAATTGGGATATATCGTATCGACATAAGAATGAAAATAACTATTGTTAATTGACAATACGTCGTAGATATAAATTATCTTAACGTCGAGTTGAAGGCAGCAACAAGTATTTTCTTCTTTTTAAGTATAAAATTTTAAACGAATTCTGCTTCATATGAATGCCAAATAAGTCTACTAATAACGGGAACGAATAAAGTATTTTTAAAAAATGTATTACCGAGTCAAAACGCAATATGCAAATCACAGAAGACTTCATGAACAATATTTTATTGTTCCTCCAACAATGAAATTTTTTTACAAATATATTTTAAAGGCTTGAAATAAAATATCGACTTCGCAGATACCGAACAGTATTCAAGCTTGAAAACCATTTAACCAATGCAAATTGGGAGCAGGGCAAACACGAACCTCCAAAAACATCAGAAATGGAATCAGGCGCCATGGAGAAGTGAGCATCCCCTGCTGACCGGTCACATCTGTCGTGTCCTCCTTTTCATGATCGGGGAAAAAAGGAAAAATGCGTAGACCTAACAATGTAAATGATCAATTGGAATAACGTCAGTCAGCATTTTACCTAGTGATAAGTTGATTTTACTGACAAGGTCATTGTATCGACCATAAAACTGATGACTTAAAACGAGACTTTTTAAGATGGAGAGCTTGGTGTTCTTGTTTCATCAACTCCTCGTCATAATCGGGAAATAACGGGAAAATCCATCGACAATTCAGTGTTTATAATGGCCTGACAATCAATATGAAAAACACCGGTCAGCATTTGACTGATAGTTTGTCTTACAAGGTCATATAAACTTGCAAAATGATGACTTCTAAAGAGACTGTTATCAACGTGTTTGTCAATAGTTTACCTCGTTTTAGAAAATGTTCATACACTGTAAAGTATGCTCTTGTGTATCGAATCAACTGAGAGATAAAGACATCGTCTGCACGCGATGAAGGTTTATTGCTGCATAAGTAAAGGGGGTTGACGATTAAAAAGTTAAACATCGCGTTTTTCATAATGCTTTGTTGCTACATTAATATGATCAGTATAACATCCAGTTATAAAAGAGATGTGGACTCTTTTTTCAAGTTAATTTGAATATTTGAAATGAAATAACTATTATCTCTAAAAACTTTGTCGGTGTATCGAAATGCTGGCTTGAAGATTTTTTTCTCTCAGGTAGTTCATGAAATAATTTTTACTTCCTAAAATATCAAAAAAGATATATGAGTTATTGAGCACACCTACGTGTAGAACCAACATAGATTCCAATTGGGTGTTGTGTCCTTTCTGACAATTTATTTCAGTTTGTCAACTAAAATCTGCAACATGACTATCTGAGTATTTTTATTTTATGTCAGAAAGGACAGTTGGAAAAACTGCATGGTCTCAACTGACCACTGGAAGGTTATCAACGAGGTATATTATAACATTGATTTCAGAATATTTGTATATAATCAGAATGGTTTCGATAAAGTATTTTGTAAACAAGCAATCACAAGAACTGAAGGCTCATGAATTCCATTTCAGTCAAAGAACCTTTGATGTAAAATGCCGCGGTCTTTAAACTATACAGTGCGGAATCTTACAATGCCATAAAACAAATGGAGATAACGAACAGTATTCAAATTCAAAAATCCATAAAACAATACAAAATAGGAGTAGAGCACACACAGACCTCCAAAACATCAGAGGTGTGCACCTTGTCATGATCGGGAAATAACGGAAAAATCCTTCGTCAATTCAGAGTATAAATAATGGACTAACAATAAGTATGGAAAACGTTAGTCAGCATTTGACTCAATGATAAATTGTATTTGCTGACAATGCCATTGTATCGACCTTAGAACTTACAAAATGATGACTTTAAACGAGACTGCTAATATTCTTGTTTCATCAACTTGTTTCTCAACATTTTACCTCAGTTTAGAAATTGTTCATACGTAGTCGTACATGTAGCAGAAAATGCTATTGCGTATCGAATCAATTAAGATATAAAAACTCTGTATGCAGGTGATATAGACATATTTCTGCATATATAAGGGAAGTTGACGATTGAGAAGTTAAAGTCATCACGTTTATCATAGCGCTTGGTTGTTAGATTACATGTACCATTAAATTCTTTTTCAAGTAAAATATGCAAATATGAAAAAGATGTGTCAGACTCCATGGTATTTTTAATCTCAAGCTCACTTTGATATATCGTATCGGCATAAGAATGGAAATTACCATATGCTTTAATTTGGGTCTAAACTTGTGGATAGGTGAGGGTTTGCGCGGGGGTAGTTAAAAGTTAAACTTGCTAGAAATCCATATAGTTTGGGGTATAAAGGTATCAAAGTACAAAGCAATGCATTCTAGTTTTTACTATATGTTTTTATAGTAAATTTAAGTGATGATTCTCACGTTGTCTCACTCATCAGAGTAAACATGAATGGTTACGCTGCATTAATCACTACATGTATATGAACATCCGCGACCTACATCTTCCGTTATAAGATTGCTACTGTAGTAAAGTTATGAATAATTATTACAAATTTTGTACAACTGATGTTCTACACGTATAGTGTGTACTTTAAAATAAAATTAATCTAATGAAATAAGTAGGAAGTCAATTTATTATATGTAGTGTCAATAACTTACATGTAGATACATGTACACATGTACAGTGTGTGTGTGATATACTTTTTAAAAAGTGAATATGACGGGACATTTTGTATTCAGAAAGCTTCATCTTCTTCCAGTTCTGACCAGAAAAAGACATGGTAAGTCAAGATTTTTTCCTCTAAATATATTTACAGGAAGATATTTTTCATGAGAAAAAAAAAATACATTGCGCTTAACGGACACCTAACGGCTAAATATCGGCATCAGAATGTTTTTTTTTAATTAATGAAAGTTCTCACAAACATTATTTCGGGGCCCTTACTCTCAACTGCTTTAGTGTAAAAAAAAAAATGTGTCTATTCTAAACGAATTATTGAACTGACCCCTTAGCATCAACTTCCCTGTCGGAGCATGCTACATGTAGCGTAACATTTAGTGCGTTTCAAATGAGATTGTAGATCTGAAAACACCATAGGCAGGTGAAAGTTGAATAATAGAGAACTTCAAGAAGGGAAGTTTGCGAAAAGTCTATTTATCATATAATTATTAGTTGGTTATTAACTTCTAAAGTCAGTAAAAAATGCTATAATTATCAAACAGATGTGAAACATTTCTCAAGTTGCCTTTTAATTAGCATAAACTTGAATGGTGTGTTCGATTATGAACACCACGGACTTCCGGATTCTACAGTCTCTCTTACGATACAAGGAAGTTATCGTAAATATTAAATAATAAGTAGCACAATTCGGTTGTCTTATGATATACACGTAGTGACTAATGCGTATATTTTATTCACAAATATTTACATTTGCAAATGTTTTCCTTTATATAACACTACTGAAGGCAAGCAATTATATTTACATTTGCAAATGTTTTCCTTTATATAACACTACTGAAAGCAAGCGTTTTTATAACTGTATATTTACAATTGCAAATGTTTTCCTTTATTTAACACTACTGAAAGCAAGCGTTTGTATAACTGTATAAATACAGGTTTGGGGTCAAGAGGTCATAGATGTTCGTATGGATAAACGTTCGACGTAATTTCTCAGTGACGTCATAAAGGGTCGACGCGCGTTACATACATGCCGTTGGGTTTGAAAAATAATGCATTTCACACGTTAAAAGTCACAATCAGGCAAATTTAAAGTATGAATAAGTCACAAATGTAAATATAAGTAATAAGGTATCATTTTTTGAGTGTGTGTAAAACGGGTTGACACATGATCAAATCTTCAATAAAGCCCTGCGGGCTTTATGGGATTTGATCACGTGACCAACCCGTTTTACATCCCAATAAAACTCAAAAAATGATACCTTATTTCTTAAATAAATACAGGTACGGGGTCAAGAGGTCATAGATGAGCGTTTGGATAAACGTTCGACGTAATCTCTGTGTGATTTCATAAAGGGTCGACGCGCATTTAGTGGATTACATACATGCCGTTGGGTTTGAAAAATAACGCATTTCGCACGTTAAAAGTAACAATCAGGCAAATTTAAAGTATGAATAAGTCACAAATGTAAATATAAGTAATAAGGTATCATCTTTTGAGTTTTATTGAGATGTAAAACGAGTTGGCACATGATCAAATCTTCCATAAAACCCTTATGGGATTTGATCACGTGACCAACCCGTTTTACATCTCAATAAAACTCAAAAAATGATACCTTATTTCTTAATTATAACTGTATAAATACAGGTACGGGGTCAAGAGGTCATAGATGTGCGTTTGGATAAACGTTCGACGTAATTTCTCTGTGACGTCATAAAGGGTCGACACGCGTTTAGTGGATTACATACATGCCGTTGGGTTTGAAAAATAACGCATTTCACAAGTTAAAAGTGACAATCAGGCAAATATAAAGTATGTGTACGCAGTTACAATTGCTAATAAGTCACAAATGTAAATATAAGTAATAAGGTTTCATTTTTTGAGTTTTATTGAGATGTAAAACGGGTTGGCACATGATCAAATCTTCCATAAAGCCCTTCGGGCTATGGGATTTGACATACATGTTAACTCTCCCGATTTATATAAAACTCCATCTCCCGCCTACCGATTTAATGCAGAAATCTACCGCTTTTCTACAAAAGCTGCGTCTAAAGTATTTTTGGTTCGCTTGGGTATCCATTTTTGAAGCCACTCTCATAAAATCTCGCTAGATATCGCGTGATTTGACTCGGAATCATACAAACGCTTTTTTGTACTTAGATTTCAAGCACGGATTTGACAACGACAACAACACAAGACTACCAGTGATTACATTGGTTACGATAAATTAATCAACATCCCTGCCATGAAAAAGGAGATACAGCTTTTAAGAATTAGATGAAAACATTTGACATCGTCTTTAAAAGCACAGAAGCTCACAACTTTATCAATAAAGTCAATAGAAATCACTCGATTGACCAAGCCATGTGGCACATCTCTACTTTCGTTTACGATCATCGCTGGAAATCTGATTTATATAACGAAAGATAGGAACTTGTTTTAGATCTAGATTAAACCATTTTATCATTTGTTTTGTTTAAAAACTGAATGAATATTTTGAATTATTGCTTCTAGGCTATATCAGCAAAGATCACTCTTCACAAGGCTAAGTAAAGCAGCCAATCCAAGCAAAGTGATGAGCATGAAAAATATTTGAATTTGTACAATTTATGTCAAACTTAAGGTGTTTCTGTCTTCTAATTGATATTTAAGATTAATTAGTGTAGGTACCTGATTTCATTTAAGGCTTATAATATACATGTATATTACATGCATGAAAGATATCGATAATCCAAGCGTTAAACAACACGCGCGCAATGCTACCGCTTTTGAGGTATGAATCTCCCTCTTTTTCATCACAATAGGTTAACATGTATGGATTTGATCACGTGACCAACCCGTTTTACATCTCAATAAAACTCAAAAAATGATACCTTATTTCTTAAATATAGATTTACAATTATAGATTTAGCATGAGGTCATCTTCAAAATAATGTTTGCTTGCCCTCTCCTATCCCGACTCAGGGTAAAATTATGAGGTCGGTAGGTAGGTTGGAAAATCTTTTTTCAGAAATTTTCAACATATTTGTTGACGTGATGAGAGGCATTAATAGACAAAACGTGTGCAGGGATGTAAAAAAAAGAGTTTTAGTCGGTTGGGCGAAATGATCTAAATGTAGTGTAATACACTTTACATATAAAGTATGCTGAGATATAGAGAACACATTCCAGAAAATGAAACTAGTATATCGTTATTTTTTTAATAACTTTTCAAAAATAATTTATGTTTATCAAATACTATATAAAGATTATTTCAAATATATATAAATATTTTTTTTTACATATGATATGTTTCAAACATTGTTTTGATTAAAACATATTGAATATACAATCATGTACTATGCATCTGTTCAAATCAGACGCAAAAGAAACTGACTAGAGGCTTTTCGGACGTTAAACTAATGGTCATGCGGTCGTTGTCCAGTATCGTCAAGTTAATCCGTTTAATTGTCATGTTAGGGTCTCAAATCCAGTGGACATCAAAGATAGCCGACCGGTTAAGTATACGGGAATAGAAACGCGCGAGATCCATATACAACTAAGAGGGTGCAAAATAACGAAAAAGTGATCGATCTCAAAAAAATTTAACAAAACAAATTTGTGGCGAGGACGTAAACACTGTTACAAATTCCTTGTAATTCCAGACGTGAGATCAGGTCCCTAGCAGGAGTAAGAATCCCCCAAAAACATTCAATCAAATACCTAAAAAACATTTTAACATATACTTCAAGCGGACACCATATACATGAAGTGTCTCGGTGTCATGCTTTCAAGTCCAGTTCCGGTCAATAAACATGATAAACTTATCTCTGAATTAGAAACGGAGACAAGGAACACAAACGGATTCAAAATATTGACGTCTATTGGCACAAACAGCAAGATGTGACTGAACAAGAAGACACATGTAGAGAAACGTTCTTATTTATTTTGTTCATTTGGAGATAAACAAGAAAAATTTTCACGAGTACTCCCAAGTTATCAGGGGATGCTTACTCCTCCGAGGCACCTGGTCCCACCCCGGGATTTTAGGGATCTGTGTTTATGCCCTATTCACAGAGTTGTATTGCTTTTAGGTGTCTTTTTAATCGATCGTAACTCGATCGTTTTCATCACATTTTATTTCATTCAAATGCATACGCCAATACGTATATGTAATTATATGAATGTTATGTAGCGTCGTTTAGTTAGTAGTAATCTCTAAGTGAAAAAAATGATTTTAAAAGAAATCTAAAACGACAAACTGGTTTATTTTTGTTCAATAAAGAAAGAGTTTCTATGGAATTCCATATACGACAGCCAACTGCTTACTGACAACTGTCACACATAATTTATTTGAATAATTTTTCATATTTATATTGATATTTATGTAAAATTTCAAGAAACCAGGGGCGGATCCAGGACTTTTTTCCCAAGAGGGTCCACCCCAGTAAAAAATATCTAACCCAAAAATTTCTTTACAAGAATATTTTAACAAACAAAACAAAAAGATAAACCCCTATCTTAAATGTGAAAATTTAAATTATTTCGATGGGGGAGGGGGTGACTTCTTATTTTTCTGATGCTCTGTAAAAGGTCTTAATGATTTTTATAAGTATATCTGATTTAAATGCCTTTACCAACAAATGTTACCCAAGATCCTACCAAAAGTTTGACCCACCTTTTTTTTCTGACGTATAAAGATTATAGCTTTTAATACCCCCGGTCAAAGAATCTATCGATTCTTTTTCCTGCAAGGAAATGTGGGAATTAGATATATTGTATTCAAAAGGGAATACTTTTTCCTCCTATTTATCCCTTCCTTGCCCCCACTGTTTAAAAATTCCTGATGAAGTCTTATTATTGTAATCTATCATAAGGGTTTAATCAATTAAGCATGCGCATTAAAGATACCCGGTATTAAAGATAAAAAACAGGCAATATCGTTAATGAGCAGTGGCAGCTGGCTATAAGCAGTTGACTGTCGTATATGTCGTATATGGAATTCAATAAGTTACTGAAAAAAAATTCATTTTAAAATTAATTTATTCTTTGTAATTTCTGTTAAATTACGAATAGTTGCACATTTTTTGACGTCTGTGACAAATCAAATAATGCAACGTCCA